CGAATCCTTTCACTATGGATGCCTGGGGCGTCACAATGAATCCCCTTGGTGAAAAGTGGCTATGAGCTAGGGACAAACACAACCAACGAAGTCATGATCATAGGCTATACAGGTGTGTACTTTATGTAGTCTGTGTTGAGACATCCTTAGAAGGTGAATGGCCTTAGTTGCGGACAACTTCTATGGGAGGAGCGAGCTCTCTTTAAGCAAGTGCCCCTCGGGGCAAAGGCTCGTTTAAGCAAGCTTTCTAGATAAACTTCATCAAGAATGAGCGCATCTTTGATCTAATCCTCTAAAGGTGAGCTCATACGCCGTGAGCTCTATTGGGATGAATTCTTTCTAGCTCAAACTAGGGCTGGCGACAGGCCCTCAAAGTGAGGTTTTCTTTAGGCGAGTATTACTACGAATGCATGCCCTCTCTCCTCAAGCACTTGGACATGAATCTGCTTAGATATTTAAAGAGTTACTTATATGAACATGTATGAACATATACTTTCAATAAGATAAATATAAATAAATTCTTCATTGACCTGAAAGGCAAGAAAAAGTCACATGAATAAATCTTATAGATCATTTATATTCATCAATATATAGTAGATTCAATTCCACAATATTTACCTTGTTTCAGGCCTCTAAATTTTTATTTTAAAAAAATGGCATCTCTAAAACATATAAATAAGAAAAAAAATAATTATATTAAATGTTTCTAACATGAAAATAAATTAAATTAGGTTTAAATTTACAATGCGTATCTAATAAATAAATAAAAATTTAATATATATATTTTATAACAAGTTACTATACAACAAGTTTGATTCATAAATAATGTTTCTGAACTTTGCAAAAAGACATCTAATTTATATGTAATATATGTTAATATATCTGTTTGTTATGGTGTAGAGTTCCTTCCTAAGTAGATCCAAATTATCCCAATGCAAATTTGTCAACTTCTCAAATGATATAATCTCCTATTAAAAAAACTTTTTCTACTAAAAATTTATTTTAGAAAGCAACAAAAAAGTTGTTCCAAATAAAATCTTAGGCTTCGTTTGAGACGATTTTTTTCATGTTTCTTAAAATAACTTTCTAGTACAAAAAAAATAAATTTTTTGTACTAAAAAGCTGCTTTAATAAGCAATAAAAAAGTCATCGAAAATGAAACTTTAATCTCATTATCTCACAAAAAATAAGACCCATTTAAGAGTGAAGATGTATTATATTTGATTTATGTTAAGAAAGACAGATAAATTTAAAAAAATTTGGTTAAAAAATATTAGAAGTGAACTTTCTTTATTAGATTTAAATGAGAATTTGACTCTTAATAGAACATAATGGAGAAAAAAATTCATATAACTAATCCCACGTAGTAAGATAAAAATTTGATGTTGTTGCTGTAATATCTCAACTTCATTGTCAAATTGAAATTGACTGGTTTTTAACCTTTGTGATTTTTTTTTTAGAAAAGAGTGTGCGAGTGATTTGAACTTCCAAGGGCTTCAGATCTTAATCATTCAATCATCATAGTAACTGTAGAGAATCCAATTGGTATTGGAAAACTTTACCTTTCAATTATCATAGTAACTGTAGAGAATCCAATTCCAGCTAACTAATATCTTCCATTAACAAGATTCAAGATTCTGCACCATAGACTTTTCAATGCTCTGTAGCACAACCTCATCCTCCTCCTCCTGCTGCTGCTACTGTGCTTGGACTTCTACAGCATCTCTACTTGAAGAACTGATCGCTTCAATCCGCGCCACCACCTCCGGCATCGATGGCCGGCTATCCGGACACTGAACAGTACAGTTTACAGCAATCTGCAATAGCTGAACCATCTCTTCCACGTTCTGTTGCCTAAGCAACTCCAGATCAAGAACATCGGTCGACCATTCCTCCCGAAGCGCTGCTTGCACCAATTGAGGGAGGTTGGCGCCCTCCTCAGGCGACTTTCCGGTGAGCAGCTCCAGCAGGAGGACACCAAAGCTGTATGCATCGGCCTTCTGAGAGATCTTGCGGAAGTTGG